GACCAGAGGGAAAGTGCTGTGAGGAGAGGCTGAGGGAGCTGGGGGTGGTCAGCCTGGAGAAGAGGAGACTCAGGGGGGACCTGATCACTCTCTACAACTGCCTGAAGGGAGGATGTAGTCAGGTGGGGGTCAGACTCTTCTCCCGGGCAGCCAGTGACAGGACGAGAGGGCCCGGCCTGAAACTGCCTCAGGGGAGGTTTAGGTTGGATCTCAGGAAACACTTCCTCACAGAGAGGGTGCCTGAGGGAATGCACTGCCCAGGGAAGTGGTGGAGTCACCATCCCTGGAGGTGTTTAAGGAGAAGCTGAATGTTGCACTTAGTGCCCTGGTCTGGCTGATGTGGTGGTGTTGGGTCATAGGCTGGACTTAACGGTCTCAGAGATCTTTTCCAGCCTCAACAATTCTGTGATAGTGTGATTCTGTGAATATCCAATTGGCTTTTGTGTGAGTTCTGGTGACTCTCTTGATGATTCCTTTCGGTGCTGCTGGGAGCAACAGCGGAAAGTCACGGAGGCAAAACTGTGGCAGCCTTTCAAATGTATGAGATACTACTCTGAGTTGTGTGCTCTGGCAAGGTCAGAGCTGAGAGGAGGCATGCTACTTGCAGCTACGGCATCATAAGAATACAAACCTTTAAGACTGAAGTTTGGGACCATGCAGGAACTTCCTACATTTTACTGATAATAGAAAAAAATCGTATATAGTTTGAAGTGATGTCACATAAATATAGTTTTGAGTGTTTTATGTAAAGAAGTAGCCAAAGCTTGGTGAGCCTTCTTGAATTGAGTTACTTCAGTACTTTTCCCATCTAGGCAATTCTCTGAAGCATCTGGCAAGAAAAAAACAGCAACCTTGGTTTAAATATGCATTATTATTCTTGTGCATTGTGTTAATGTATAAATCTTTTTGAAAATATAGATGTACCGTGTTTTCTGTGAAACACCGAATATCATGATTAGACTTCCTTTATCTAATTAGCCTTAATTTTCCATCCTCAGACCGTTCATTCTCATTAATACTTGCCTGGATTTTATGAAAGCCCAACTAACAATGCCTGCAGTTAACAAGAGAACTGCATTAGTATTAAATACATTGCAGAGATACAAGCATTAAGTTATATTGTTTTAGGGTGATTTGACTCAATGTTACTTCCTCTTAAAAGGTGATTAAAGAAAGTGGACCTCCTCACATGAAGAGCTTTGTTACACGAGTTACAGTAGGAGAATTCACTGCAGAAGGAGAAGGCAACAGTAAGAAACTTTCAAAGAAACGTGCTGCAATGGCAGTCCTACAAGAACTTAAGAAACTTCCTCCTCTTCCTGTGATTGAAAAGCCAAAACTGTACTTTAAAAAGCGTCCAAAAACAATATTGAAGGTATGTGTCGTACCTTTGACAGAATTAAGAATGTTTACTCAGCAAATAACTCAGATATAAAATGCTCAGATATAAAATTGGTAAAAGCTTATTTGTCATTTTGTTACTTGTTTGCCTGTGCTGATAGGTCTGTGCTTTTTTAATCCTGAGAAATTTGCAAACACAGTGGCTCGTAAGGTGCTGGGCTTAAGAACCCAGCCCACATCACTGAAGTCTTCCGGGGTCTGGTTTCAGTCTAGTGGAGGGTCAAACCCTCCAAGAAGCTCTGTACAGCCATGGGAATTTTTAGCATGATCTCCTCTGGGAGGCACTACTAGTTTATGTGGTGGTTCTCTCCCTGATCTTTTCCTCCAGTTGAAGATAAAATAGTAGATATATAGGGAAATGGTGCACAGTCCGGCTTCCTCCCTTTGTGGAGCTAGATTCGAGAGTTTTGTGGCTTCAGCTTCAACTGGATTTTTGGAAGTTTTGAAAGAAAGCCAGCAGTGTGCTGACATGTCAGCCTACTGTGTCACTCATCCAGTGCCAAAGGACAATACTTTTAAGTGCCTGTGTTAAGGTTAGCATGTGTTTGATAATGCTCTCTAGCTCTCAGATAAAGATAGAAAATTGTCTGGAGATCAGCCAGGGCTTAGAGACTTTAAACCATCCCTCCATTAGAACATGCCCTGTCTCAAAGGATATCAATATACTTCTTGCTGCATTGATGAGGCTTCCTTTAGAAGTTCAGGATTCTTGAGAGCTCAAGCTTCTTGATGGTACTTTTATTGTTGTTGGCAGTAGATTTATTGCTATTTCTCCAATTTAGTCAGTATACGGTGACTAGCCCTAGTATGTCTGCTCATTCTAAATTCATACAAAACCAAAGGGTCATCTGAAGTAATTAGTCTTCCAAACGATGTAACAAAAGCAGCCACATAGTGTTCATACATTTATGAAGCATCACTACCTAGTCTCAGCACAGAACAACGGATCAGATTGACTTGCTAACTGTTCAGTGCAGAAGACGAGGCTTTGAAAATGACCCCAAATCTGCTACATTTCATGTTATTGTAGGAAGTATTGTTGTGTGAGGAAGTAGTTAAAACTCTTTATACATGTTTTATTTTTTATTGTATGGCATTTTGGATAGTCATGTGGGTATAAGTAGCCTTTCATACTCATTTTAGGTCAGTGTAAATATCAGTGGAGTGTTGCTCACTTTCTCTCTGGTGTTACAGAGTCAGTTTTGCCCCATACTGTGCAGATCAGGAACCTTGAGACTAGAATTCCAGGAAAAAACAGGAAACCTTCATGCTCCAAACTTGTGCCTCCAAGTGTAGTTTTAGGACTTAAATTTCATCTCTTATTTTCCCTCTATTTGCTTCTTGTTTAGTTAAAAAAATCCACATTTTTTCTGAACTATGTTATGTCCATGGCATGCACTGTTAGAGTGGACAGCACTACACCAGTATGGCTTTAACTCCATCCTCATAGAGTGCTACATTGATAGATTGTAAAAATGAGTAAATCAGTACCTTACTAATATGACCATTGGGAATCTGTATATGCAGTACAATGAGTGCAGAGTTCTCTTGGCACATCCAACAGAAAAGCCATTTAAAATAAGTAAATACTTTGTAGACTGCAAAACTGGCTTTGGAAAATGTACAAAGGATTTACTTCATCATCTTCCTCTTTTATTTGCCTTTGAAACAGAAAGAGTGATTTTTCAAAAAAAAACCCCTAGGTTAATTAGATACCTGTCTCCTAGTGAAATTCTGCGGATCTAATTCTCAAAAACCTCTGGGTAGAAATGAACATAAGAAATTATTTAATGGAAAACCATCAGCACTAATGCAGCTTTAAAGCTGCCAGATCGGAAAAGGCTATCGACTCTGGCTGTCTCATTTTGGAACGTTTTTCTCAAGAAAGATGCTAAAGGTATAATAATGTAAAAATCTCTCATACTACGATATACCATTTACCATTACAATCTTAAACTGAGTTATCCAAAGTTGGACATGTTAGAAAGAGGCATTGATAATCAAAATACAGTGATTAGGTAGAAGATCTTTAGTTTCTGAATATACAAGCTTCTGAAAAGCTTTCAGTGTGCTCATTTGTTTTAGTTTAACCTACACATGTTTTGAGCATCAAAAAAAGTGACAAAATTAACTTCTTTTTATTTGTGTATATATTTATGAGGCTGTATCTTATAGCCTGCGCTTTATTTAGCCTGCTCTGCATTTTGTCTCTGCCTGGCTTCTTGCCCACACAGCTGCCCTTGTGCATGACATTGTCTTAACTCTTTCACCCACATCTTCTCTAACAATGGCAGCAGTTACACTACGTAGGATTTGCTGCACAGTTTTCTGAATATAATATCCCTCCCGGGTCTTTGCCTTCAGTTGCTGATGATCCCTTTAGATTCTGAAACACTTTTTCTTACTTGAGAAGCTCAAACAAGCATGAAGGCTGATCATCTCATCCTGCAAATGGCTTAATGAAAAGGAAATAGCTCAGTAACATAAAAACAAATCTACATTAAAATGGCATTTATATTTGCAAGTTCATTCTTTGTATTGTTATATAAATCAATTAAATGTGACTTCTGATAATTTTTGGGGGTGTCAATTTCTCCTCCACAAGGAAATATTTTCATATTTGCTTTGAGACAGTGTTTGCCTTCTAATAACATAAATCCTTTGATTTCAGAACTAGATAGTTTAAGACTGCAGTTTTTCACCTGCCTGTATAATCTTGGACAGACCAGTCTTTCAGTCCTTTTCTTTTCCGCCCATCAGATCGAGTTCCCCACCAACTGTACATTTTTGACATGTTGTTGTGAGGATTATTGTCTGTGAAGCATTTGAAGTACTTTGTGGGTGGCTCACAATATGCAGCATTTCTAGCCCTTGGAGATACTTCTAACTTCACTACGTTAAAGTATTTTGATGGTGAATTCCTATGACGTGCAGAGTAACCTTCTGCACCTTTAGTTGCATTGTAGGGTGGAAGGCCTGAGTGCAGAGAAGGAAGACAGGAAGACCGAGAGAGACAGCTTCTTTGTAATACGGCAAATTTTTTGTTCCCATGTAAATCCCACCTCTTAAGGTACTGCATGTTCCAACATTGTAGCAACCTATTTTAAGGGTCATAGGAATTGGGCAGGGAGATGTTATTTGCTGATGAATCTGCTAATTTTCATCCATCTCCATGGGACCTCCATAGGTAGATGAGGGTATTAGTAGCTTACAGATACTGGATATGCACACTATCTGCAACAGTGGCACACAGAAGGTGTATATTTTTTTGCCACACTTTTCAGCCTGAGGATTCTTATCTTCTGTCTCCTGATCAGAAGACAGGAAGAGATTTACTCCTTATTCTCTCAAAGAGAGTATTAAAGAAGAGGTAAATGTTTTATTGAAGCAGCATAATAGTTGTATGGATATATGCTGAAATAATGGTTCTTTCTTTTAAACCTGTTTTAGACGGGACCAGAATATGGTCAAGGAATGAATCCCATCAGTCGTCTGGCTCAGATCCAACAGGCCAAAAAGGAGAAGGAGCCAGAGTATGTTCTTCTTTCAGAGAGAGGAATGCCTCGCCGTCGAGAGTTTGTTATGCAGGTATCGTGTGCTGTCATGTTAGGAATAATGCCCTTTATGCTCAAACTCAAGCAAAATGGCAGCATAATATGAAGCAGAACTCTCTATGTTTAGCTGTTTGCTTTACGGTCACTTTTACAAGAAGAGTGTGAGATACAGTACCAGAAAGCCTATTTGAACATTTTCTTTCTCTTGGTGAAAGAAATGGCAATTAGATGTTGTACCTACTAGATGCTTTTCTTGTATTGATTTTGAATTTTTTATGCTCTTATTTTTATTTCACATGATAGTTTCTATCTTTGTCCCTTATGGTTCATGATTTATATTCTTTTACTAGTCTTTTTGAAACATTTTGGTTTTGCTATTAGAATGATAGAATCATAGAATCATTTTGGTTGGAAAAAGGTCTTTAAGATCATGAAGTCCAACCATTATCTAACTGTACCAGGCCCACCTCTAAACCATGTCCCTGAGCACCATATCTAGACAGCTTTTAAACACATCTGGAGATGGTGATTCAACACTTCCCTGGGCAGCCTGTTCAGTCTTTGATAACCTTTTCAGTGTAGAAGTTTTTCCTCATGTCTAACCTAAACCTCTCCTGGCGTAACCTGAAGCCATTTCCTCTTCTCCTGTCGCTTGTTACTTGTGAGAAGAGGTAGTTGTAGAGAGCAGTAAGGTGTCCCCTCAGCCTCGTTTTCTTCAGTTGTTGATCAGGGAGTTGCAATACAAACAAGCATTCTGAAGTATGGATATGAATAGCCCCATATTACCAAGCATTTTGGTTTTAAAAAATAGTGTTGTAATGTTTTTTCAGATTTTCAGTTTCTTTGTGGCTTTGTTCATATCTGAAATAACGCAGAAGAAGACCTTCCATCATGTGTTTTAGCCTGTCCCATTAAAGGCTCTGGACCTAGTATAGGAAAGTTGATCATTACTGTTTCTTTAATTTTTAAATTAAGGACATTTACAAAGATTTGATATAACCGTGATATTTTGTTAGATAGCACAACAACAGGTTGAGAAAGTTCACCAGCAAGGAAGAATTCTTTCCTTGTGATTTTGTTCAGGGGTAGTTTTGTGCTGGAACAATTCAGAACGGCATACCTCAGCGCGATTTGACTTGTAGTCTGCAAACCACACCAAAACGTCGTTCCTGATCACAAGCAGAATTTGATGTTCCAACACCTCCTTCTTCTGGAAATTAGTTATGTTTTCACTTAAAGATTTAAGTCCTTCCTTCATGCCTATCAAGATGGACTAGCAATCTTAATTTCCTTGGACCTCAGCAGCCTTTCTGGATGTTTCATTATTTCTCTCTTTGAAGCAAATGAAGGTATTGGGTTCCTTTTGTTGCAGAATCTGACTTACGAATAAAATTTAGATTTCCAACTTTTATGCTACCTGAAAGTATTTGAAAAAAAAATGATTCTGTCATGGACATCCTCTGTGGGAGTGTCCACATTTAGAGATGGCTGTGCAAGATGTCCAGAAAGCACTATGCAATGCACTCCGGTATTAGAAAGATGGACTGAGACTTGGGACTTGGTTTCCCGTTGGAGGAGTGTCAGTAAGGGCAAAATCTTTGGTTTGAATAAAAAAAGACCCAAACTTAAGAGCAGTGAATGCATAGAATATTCCACTATCTAAGAAGACTTGTGAAGGAAAGTGTCAAAGAAATTCCTTAGAACAGTTGCTTTGTTATGAATGCTTTTAAACACTGCAGCTCCATTTTTTCCCGTTTGTGATATTTTCACACTAAAATCGCACTGCTGTTTCTCCCACCTTCAGGAAGTTTCAGTGTATTCACTATGACATGCAAAAACCCTTATCAGAATGAAAAGCCTTCGTATAAACTACTTAAACAATGTTTTCATTTAATTTAATTGAATGTGGAAGTAAAATATCCAGAGATAATATGCTCATTTTTATCTGTCACACAAAGAGCAAGTTTAGATGTGATGAAATGGATCCAATTACTTGTCCTGACTACTAGATAAACAGAAGAAAACCTCTGATGACATTAGTTGGTGTTCTGTTCCCAAAGTTAATTTCAGAAAGCTCTTTCTCTTTGTAGTCAGACCTTTAATCCTTGATAGAGGTTATAATAATAGCTAAACCAGTTTTACAGGTCTGAGAAATAGCAGCACATTGATTTATTGTGAGCTGTGCTATAAATTATCATTTTGTCTTGTCCCATTAAAGTCCTTCATTTTTATTGCATATAAACTTTTAGCAGATTGGCTGTTTTTTAATTGTGATTGCAGAGCTGCATAGAATGTAAGATTTGTATTTAAAGATCATTAATATTTCTGCTTTAGGTAGCTGGATCATTTTGCCTAGTTATAGGTATATACTTTGAAGGGGTATTCATGATCATTATTATTTATTTACATACTCTGTATTCTGATTTAATAGGGTTTTGAGTAAAGAAAAACTAAAACTTTTAGAAGAATATATACTTTATAATTTGAGGAAAGTGAGTAATTACTGAATAACCTAAATCCCTAAATAACATTTGTTATTTATTTGACAATTGTATGCCTGTTTTTACAATTTTTTTAAAGCTCCTTCCAGACTGTTTAAGGTCTTTGACCTCTAAGGTTTCTTTTATTTAGATCACATTGACTATTCTATTATTTTAATTTTATTTTGATTTTGTTTTTTTAATACACTATTTTAAGAGAAAATTTTACAAATAAAATGACTTAATAGACAGCGTGAAACATACCTATCAAAGAGCTATGAGTATCACCAAAGTGACAGTGCTAGTATCACAAGCCAGACATAAACAGCTTTGGGAGTTAACGAGTGGTACTGAAGCCAAGGAATAAATGAGAGCCTTACTCCTTGTGGGTATCCATTGTCTGTAAATTGTCTTTGAGTTTTTAATTTCTCCTAGTTTTATGAAAGGTATCTCGGTTGTCAGAAACCCTTTGTGCAGTACAGACCGCAGGTCCAGCGAGAAGCCTTTTTTCCGATGTTTTGCTAAAAGCTCATCAGGTGTAAGTGCGGCAGAAGGAAGTAGCCCCAGCCCCTGTGTTCCTTGCGGTGCGATGATGCTGGAGGAATGCAAACGTGGTTTTCGTCTTTCTTTAAAAACCACTCTCGTTTAAATCTCCGGGTCATTGTTCGTCTCTCCGTTGTTCTGGGCTATGTCCCAGGGAGGATGCTGGGGACCTGCTGCGGGCAACGTTCCGGCAAGAAAGAGGGAATCGAGATCCTGTTGTGCTTCCCGTGTTAAGCTAGAGTTGGGGAGATGTTCAGCAAAAAAAAAGGCAGGTGGAAGAGAGGGATAACTGTGTGTGCATTGAGATACAGGAAATGTAACGCTTTGGTACGAGTTTGGAGACCACCTGGAAAACCTAAACACGCTCCTCTGTGTGAAGCAGTGTCCTAGTGCCCTTTTGCTTAATTTTTCAGGACTGCATCTTCATCAAAAGAGCTGACAGTTGTTGGTAGGTCAGCAAGATTATTACATGAGGATATTAAGGAGTCTTGCGTTTATCGTGATTATGATCGATGGTTTATTTTTCAGGTAAAAGTAGGCAATGAGATTACTACTGGAACAGGATTATCGTGATTATGATCGATGTTTTATTTTTCAGGTGAAAGTAGGCAATGAGATTACTACTGGAACAGGCCCAAATAAGAAAATAGCTAAAAGAAATGCAGCAGAAGCCATGTTGCTACAGCTGGGTTACAAAGCCTCTACTCCTCTTCAAGACCAGCCAGAAAAGGTGAGAACCAATGGTTATGATGCATTTTAACTTTGTCTAGGTGTTTAGCTGTATGAGCTAACTTCGTAAGAATGGAAGCTTAAACTTGTGCACCCCCCTGTTTTAGGGGGTTGCTTGTCAGAATCAGCCTTCATTTAGCTACAGCCCTGTAGCTACACTTGGTAGTAAATGCAACCTCTCGTCCTGTAAGAGTAATTAAGAATAAAAATGTAGTCCCATAGGATAGTGTGTGCATAAAATTGTACCTGTGAGGTATGCACCTGTTTCTACTTACAAATCAGGATAAACATGCCTCTTACTTTTATTCTATTTTGGGTATCCATGAGAGCACTGAAAGGAATGATGTTAGTAATTCTTATATATGAAATAGCCGTAGTAGTCAATGCTTGTCTTCCTGTTGTGTATGCACTAAAAGCATTCCAGAAAAATGATGGCCTTTACAGGTTTGATTACTGAGAAAGAAAACGTATTTGTTTCCTTTTCTGTGGAGAAAGAATTACATTTCAAGTTTGTATGAGCTGTGGACTCTGAACAGATTATATCATATGTAGATTCACTGCATGTATGTAATTTGATCATGACTTAAATGTTTGCTGTGGCTGCACCAGCTAGCTCAGGTCAACAGAATGTTTTGCTGGGCTTTTCTAGGGACTACATGATAAATCTAAATATATTATATAACTATATATAACTTCTGAAACATCCTATATTTTTCTTTAAAAAATAAAGAGAGAGAGAGAGATATTCCTATATATATACATATATATATAGGAAGGTACTCTGTTCTCTGTGTTCTGTACTCCTAGCCAGGAAAAGATAAATGCCATGCTGGTTACTTGGCCTCACCTCCTGTTTCCATCTCCTTTGGGAGGTGCAGCTCTACGTACGCTATTCACATTCATCTTCACTGCATTCTTCACTATATATCTTAGTCACATACAAATATGCAGTACTCCAAACAGAGTACTAGGAGTCTGGATGGTGTTTCTCGTGAGGTCACACTGTGTAGTCACAGCCATTTTAAAAAAGGCTTATGACAGAGTTGAATGATAATTCATTTTCACCACAAAGCTGAGACTTCTGCTGTTGAAGATACTTTCTACGGATTTCAACTTTTTCTTCTCTGCTAACTTGGCCAAAGTGCTTTCTGAAAATTAAAGCAAAACTGATTAAGTCAACCTTTCTTCCTAACAGGAAAATGTAGGTTTTCATTCTTGGATTTCAAATTGGCTCAACTATTTTTACTCAGTAGATTTCAGAGATAAAGCCTGAAAAAATCAGCCCACAACATAGTTACTTTGGAGAGCTCTGCACAATGGAAACTTGTAGTTACATTGAAATCATAGAATCATAGAATGGCCTAGACTGGAAGGGACCTTAGAGATCATTTAATCCAATTTCCCTATCATGGGCAGGGACGCCTCTCAACTATATCAGGCAACATATGGGGACTGAACAGGAATCGAACCTGTGGCCTTGGTGTTAGCAGCACCATGCTCCAACTGACTGAGCTAACCGGCCCCCTTCTGGAAAAAGATTTAGTGGCTCAAAAGGGATGCTGCTATTTTGTTTCCCTACCTTTACTAAACTATTGCTTACAAGTGCATTGTCTTAAAACCCCCAGTTTTAATTACATACTTCCAGATGTAGATATCTTAGAATTGAAAGAATAGCATACAATGCCCTACTATTATTCTGAACAAAATGATCAAGCGTGATACTGTATCCAAAAAAGTGTGGACTACTCAAGTCTTATGTATTGGCAGTATTCAAGATCATAGAACAATTTTTTATGGTTTTGTTGAGGTTAAGGACCTAAAATATCTAGAACATCTGGCTTTATCTTCTGTATATAACAGACTGAACATATTTACAGATACAGAAGTTAGTTTGTGTAGTGTAGATGAAAGCATTTTAATTCTCAAACTAAACTGTTCTGGAGAAGAGGGAAAATGGCCCTTAGATCTCCACTAATTTGAGCATTGCGAGATTCCTTCCACATAAATTGCACAAGATGTACAATTAAAAGATACTTGTTTCTCTCTTTGAATCCAAAGTGAGTCCCAATGTAGATTAACTGATGTATCAGATTGGCATCTAAATGGACAATTTTCACTTGTGTTGTTTTTGATGCTTTAAAAAAAAGGCAATTAGTCTTTTCCTGGCTGCTCCCACCTCTCCCCCTTCCCTGCTCTTGCCTGAGTCTTTCATTCCTTTCCTTCTCCCTTTCTAAAAAAAATACAAAGAAAACCCAAAAAAATCCCAAAGCAAAACCAAAATCAGATTTTTTTCCTTAACTGTGTTATAATGAAGACTCAAGAGTATATGAGAGCTATACATGGTGCTGATGGCAGCACATGTAAACAGGTCGTCCGGGTAATGTAAGGAAGTAAAGACTCTGCTCTTCTCTGAGGTTACCTGAGGCCTGAAAGAAATCAGTAATGGTTGTGCAGAGCCCTGAGGAGAGAAATTTGGAAGTGCACTGGGAGACTTTTTTTAGCGCTCAGAATTTTAGCTCTATAGATGAGAATGGAGAGTTGTAATTTCTTCATTTTTTCATGTTTCCATCTTTTCATTTCTCCTCACCACACTTAGAGAGAGGAAAACCAGAGTAGATTGCATTCATATGAGACAGCAGCACTAAAGATAACTTATGGATAGGTGAATTCTTGTTAAATTCCCCATGATTATCGAGTTAATGAACAGTAGCAAGAGAGGAATGAGGAGAGGTGGAAATATTCTTCGTTATACTTTTCATATTTGTTATTCATTTGAAGAACTGTCATCTTCCATGTTTTCTAATATTCATATTATGTGCTTCATAGTACAAATAAAAGGAGTTATGTGAAATTCAGGTGCATTGAGGTGGGTGATAGCTTTGAGATCCAGCTCTAAGCTTTAATAGCTACCCTCCTGTTCCACCAAATGTCTCTGATTTTTTATTGCACGTTGCTTGAACTGTGAGTGTATTGGGATGTACATGATGAGGAAAGACAGGGAAACAATCATTGGAATAGCTGCTTTGCATAGTGTGCTCTTCCTTTCTCTTTCCCAAAGAAAACATCATAGAATCATGGAATGGTTAAGGTTGGAAGGGACCTTGAAGATCATCTAGTTCCAGCCCCCCTACTGTGGGCAGGGACACCTCTCTGCCACTAGACCAGGTTGCTCAAAGCCCCATCCAACCTGGCCTGGAACACTTCCAGGGATGGGGTATCGACAACCTCCCTCGAAAACCTGTTCCAGTGCTTCGCCACTCTCATGGTGAAGAATTTCTTCCTTATATCTAATCTAAATCTACCCTCTTGCAGTTTCAGGCCATCATCTAGGAGTCTGCATTACAACATGATGGTATTCTCAACAGCCTTTACACCACCTCAGTGGTGCAGAGGCAGATTTCAGCTGACTGATCCTCCTTCGCTTCTCTTCTGCTTTTCAGTCCACCTCGACTTCCAGGGCAAATGCTTACTGCTTTTGTCATGGCATACAGACTGCTTTTCTGCAAAGTTTTCTGTTTGCATATGAAATCTCAGTGAGATCTGAAAAGGACCAATCATTTCACATTTGTAGAGGTGCTTATCCATAACTCCCAGTTCACATAAATCTAGATCACTGCCGTCTTATTTACTGTGTAGACTGCAGGAATGGCCTCATTTGGAACTTCCGTGTTAACTGCTCCCCTTTTCTGTGTCAGTAATACCTTTTGTTAAGCATAATAAAATCAATCTGAAGACAATTAGCTTCCTCAAAAAAAAAGTCTATGTATTAAAATAATGGAAAACTTTTATCTTTTTATACTTCCACTTAGTAACTAAATGGATTCCTAGCAAGTAAATATTTTTAAACTGCACCCAAAGTACTTGGTAGTGTTTATGCATTCTTTCATCAGCAGATATTAGGATCTTGGTTTAGAATGTAACTTCTGCGTTATCTGTGTATGTTTTCAACTGAGAGCTGCTTAAAACATTTGATTTTAAGGCTGATTTGGTAATATACTGAGTTGAGCCTAATCCTTGGGGAAGCATTTATATTTCAGCATTAGGCAATAGTTGTTAATGTTTTTTTGTGAAGGGTACATTCCTCCAATAACCTGTTTCAGACAAAAATTAAGATATGTTAGCAAAGTTTTTGAGCAGATGTGACAATCCCAAGTCAGCCTCTTTAGAATCATTCAGCCAAATTTATAAACATTAATGTTCTGTTTATGAAGTAGTTTATTCTTTCCTTATATGTCTTTTGCTACCTGTTTCAGCTTGGAGAAAACAAGAGCTGGAACGGCCAGAGTGTTGGGTTTCCTGAGCCAACAAGTAACAGTAAGTATTACTTTCTAAATGTGCATTTATACTTACTTCCCTGTGTAGGATTTGGATTATTCAAGACAATAGAAATGCTTTTTGTAAATATTTTAGGGTTTTGATTGCAATTAGATGAGCTAACTCTTGAGTCTTCTCTGTGTAAGTGTAGATCCGAATGAGTCCAGGAACAAGGAGATTTTTATTTACTCATTTAATCATTGAATACTTCAGGCTTTAAGGGTTTTTAGGAGGTCATCTAAACTGCCTGCTCAAAGCAGGATCAGTACAGAGTTCAGACGTGATTGCTTATGTCTTTTTTCCTGTTCTTCAAGGATGGAGATTCTGTAGCTTCTCTGGTAAGCATATTCCAATGCTTAATTGTCTTCATGTTGATTTTTTTTTGTTATTTATTTTATCCCAGTCAGAACATCTCCTCTTTATATATGACTACAGTCTCCTGTTCTCCTGTTCTTCTGCTACCTACCTCAGTGTTGTGCCTGGCTTCATCTTTTTGGCAACATTTTTTTAAGTATTGGAAGGCTTCTATTTAGTCCCCCAAAGCACACCACTGTCCTCTAAGCCTTATCATCCAGACAGATTTTCATCATCTAGTAATTCACCTACCTAGGCTCTAATACCACAACTTGGATACAAGGATGCTGTGGGAGACAAGGTGCCAAAAGCCTAGCTAAAGCTGAGGTAAATGACATCCACTGCTCTCCCTTCATTCATAAATCCATCCATTTCACTGTAAAAGGCCATCAGGTTGAGGCTGGTTTTTTTATCCTTGGTAAATTTGCACTGATTGTGCCCAATGTTTTTTTTGTCTCCTTTGTGTGCCCACAAACGCCTTTAAGAGGGCTGCATGCTTTTCCCAGGGACTGAAATGAGACTGACCAGCTTGTCTTTTTTGATGATTATGCTTTTCTTTAGTCATTGGAGGCCTCTTGTAATCTCCATGACTTTTTGAAAATGATAAAAAGTGACCTCACAATGACATAAGGTGGTTGACGGAGCATGCTGAGATATATCCCATTTGGTCCAATGGACTTGTATGGGCTGAAAATTTCTCAAGAGACACCTGACCCTGATCAGCTTCCTCTGCTGATAGTTTCTTTCTTTCTTGAGCTGTTTATATAGACACAAAGGCCTGTGAGACCTTGTTGGTGAAGACTGACTTCAGTTTCACTGCAGCAGATAATGAATAGGACAGACCTCTGTGACCTTAAATTTTTGCTGTTTAGACCACTAAAGATGATATAAATAAAACTTCCTTCACTTTTCCATCAGCTATGGATTCTTCTTTAGAACTGTGCTGAGCTCTGAATTAAGAGTCCCAAACATTGTCTCCCTCAGCTCAGGACCGTACAAGAGACAGACACACAGATGAGCTACCTCCTTCTATTTTTTGCCTACATACATCTGAAAGACATGACCCTAGAAGCAGGTTTTAAGGAGGTTCAATAGTGATTTGGTATATATACCTTTTCTTCCTTGGTCACTAGACCAGGGGAATAATTTGTGCTTCAATTTGCACAAAAGTTTATTACTGTTTAAAGTGATCTTAGATTCAGTGTATGCCATTGTGTTTCTCTAAAAGGAGGGTTTCTACATTAACTAAGACTTCTTATTAATTGCTTCCTTCCAGCTCTATCTCCAGCCCAGCGATACTTTTATGTGATTTCTGTTTGCATTGTCAAAATCTCTAAGGACATGGCCTGCAAAGCATCTTCAAATGTTAACGTATTGTAGTTTGGGGCAGCAGAATAAGACCTCTAGCTGTTCTCTCCTATCCTTGCAGTGTCTTGTAGCAAAGATGTTTATAGATGACATCACAGCCATCTATTACACCAACAAGAAAAACAGTCTCTTTCCCAGGCTTCATCTGGCAAGAAAATGTTGGCAGTTATATATGTAAATCCAAATGTAGAAAGAGAACACAAAGGCAAAGTCGCTCAACAGGAGACAAGATCAACAGAAATAGTATTTTAAACCTTCACTGAGCAAGGAACTTATTTTTCACAGACTGACCTGCTCACAGACCTCTTTTGCAGCCACCACAGTCCATGGTACAGGAGGAGGTTTTCATTCTGAGATGCTTTTCTAATGCACAGGAGACATAGGTGCCTTTATTTCTATTCTTCTGATCTCTGAGTAAATTGGAAAACAAAGGAGATGTAGCTGTCACGTCAGTGGACATAGAGCATCTGTTTCTGACAGTGCAGTTTAGAGACCACTGTGCTTGATCCCTTAACTCCTTTTTTTGAGGCAACATTAATCATCAGCTGATTAAAGTGTATAATGTATAATTTTTTATTTGAGCCAGACTATAGTATCCTTTTGCAAAACAGGAAGGGTCTGAACCTAAACTATGATCAACAGGCATATATATTTTTAATTGATTTTTTAACTCTTCACCTCATAAAGGCTGTTTCTCTCCTAGAATATTTTCTTTAAAATGTACAGCTTAACTGTGATTTCTGTATAAATCCATAAGAGGAGAATGAGTATATTACACTTATATAGAGAACAGACCGGTCTTTCTTCAGTTGCAGTCTCATCCGGGATTCATGGAAGACCTAGGAATGCATTTTTCTTCTCTAAGTGTGTTAATGTGATATCCCCCCTGACTGGCTTAATTGCTATTAGGTCTTCTTTTTAAGTTTCTTGTTGAAACCTCTCTTGGTATGCCCAAACTAAAATGGCATTTCTGATAGAATTATGAATCTGCCGTATCAATTAGCACTCTATTGTATTTTGTATAGAAAACCACTGTAGTAGTTTCTACAGTGTAAATCTTTCAACATATAAATATCACACCATTCATTTTCAATGTATAGGAAGGAACCACAGATTCCCAGATAGAAAACATGCACGATGTTTTAGTATGTTATTTAGGTAACCAGTAAGTTCAGTTGATACCTCCCTTCTGACTGGGTCTATGAAGAGACCTGTTTTCAGGACGTGACTGAAATTAGGGGATTGTCACATTTGGGGAAGCTTTACGCAGTGTCACTTTATATTTCTCCCCAGTTTTCCATAGATATAATTACTTTTGAAAGGCTGTGCTAAAATTTGTTAGGGGGATGGTCTGCCAGTATATCTTTATCTATGAGCACTTGCCTGCTCTGCTTCTGGTAGAATATTATGTGTTAGCTTCCTGCACAGGGAATGTTGAAGAAATTCTGAAGAATTAGTGTTATTAAAGAATTTTCCCTTCTCACACCCATTAGTCTTCCCCTAAGCCTCAGCACCCAAGGTAACTTCAGAGCTTTGAATGAAAGAAATCACTTTCATGCGTGATCTCTCATGCACCTGTGAAGTGCAGGGGTTTTTTTAAAGAAGTTTCACTATTTGAGAACAAAAATGTCGCATCCTTTCAGGTACGCGTATGCTAGTTTATATTTAAGAACAATAGCTGTTGGTAAGTGAATCTACTGCCTTCAGTGCCATCATTGTTGTAGGAGGTTTAAAAGAGGACGAACAGAACAGATTTGCCCCTTCTTTATCCTTGCTTGTAAGGGAAATGTACAGTTTGCATTTGTTGTTACCCTAAAATCTAACTTTGAGTGGCCTTGCAAATCCAGTGCTCTAAGATTCCTACATCTACTGTTTGGCAGCTCTTATTCATATTTCCAGTGATTTTACTCCTGCTAGGACAACATATGTGCATCAGTTTCCTTTAGCAGGCAGATACTTTTTCTTTGTTTGCATAATGCACTGTTTCCATCTGAAACTGTGTGAAGTAAAACTGGAATGCCAAGGTGAAGTTGTGTACTTTAGTTCAACAAAATCATAACAGTTGTATATTTTAGCACAGCTGAAGAACAGATTTCATTGTACCCATATTACATAGCTTGTTTTTGCTGAGAAATACCCAACTGTCCATATCGTCCTACATACTGACTCAATGCGTTTTAAATATTCCGTGTTAAATATCCTTGGAAATTAACTTTTCCTGTTCCACTCTATCATGTTGCTTTTGGAGCGATCCTTGTGGCAAGCTTCACTTCTGTTCCTCCTACTCAATAGCAAAGCTGCTTCTCACAGGTTTACGTCTTTACTTTTACTCTTCGTTTGACAATCTTAAAGATGAGAAAAGAAGCTGTTTGTTTCTTGGTTTGGGATATCTTAGGCGTTTTTCATGTGTGAAATAACAAGAACATTGAATAAGTTTGGGTTTTTCTCCCTGATGCTTCTGAAAGAAACTTTAAGACACTGTGGGCAGACCACAAGGAGATGTTTACTGCCAACAGAATGTTCATTTATCTCTCTGGATTTGACTTAGGCAGGTATCAACAAAACGTGAAACAAGTGAACAACCCTAATGCAAAGTGCATTTTCTTGAGAATGTATTTTTGATTTTGTATTTCTGGATGGGATGGTCACAAACATCAAACAGTATGTGTTCTAGGAGAAGCTGTAGATAAGCTATGAATAACAGAAAAATATATTTAAAAAAAAGGAAAAAAAAAAAAGCAGTGTTTTTATATGTCCTGGGCTGCATCAAGAGATGCGTGGCCAGGAGGTCGAGAGAGGTGATTCTCCCCCTCTGCTACTCTCGTGAGACCCCACCTGGAGTACTGCGTCCAGTTCTGGAGCCCACAGCACAAGAAAGATCTGGACGTGCTGGAGTGTGTCCAGGGAAGGGCCACGAGGATGATGAGAGGGCTGGAGCACCTCTCCTGTGAAGACAGACTGAGAGAGTTGGGACTGTTCAGTCTGCAGAAAAGAAGGCTCTGAGGAGACCTTATTGTGGCCTTCCAGTATCTCAAGGGGGCTACAAGAAAGCTGTTGAGGGACTTTTTAGGATGTCGGATAGTGATAGGACTACAGGGAATGAATTGAAGCTGGAGATGGATTGGTTCAGATTGGATGTGAGGAAGAAGTTCTTTACCGTGAGGGTGGTGAGACACTGGAACAGGTTGCCCAGAGAGGTGGTGGAAGCCCCATCCCTGGAAGTTCTGGATGGAGCTCTGGGCAGCCTGGTCTAGTGGGGGATGTTCCTGCCCATGGCG